CCCCAGAACGCAGGGGGAAGTTTTGTGAGCGATTGTGGTGCGTTCCAGCAGCTGCCACTCTGGAACGCATCACAATTGGTGTGAACAAGCCCTTAGACACTGTGAATTCCTTTTTTTTTTTGCTACCCTGTATTTTTTATATATTGTACAAAGTGCAAAAAAAAACAAAAATTCAGAAATAAATTAAATGTTAAAGAAAAAATAAAAGAAGAGGGTTTCACTAACCTGAATTTCCTGTGTCCCTCCGCCGGTATCAGCCTTCTCCTTGCCCTTCTCCGATGCCACCGATGGCTGCTGCGGCATCGCTGGCTGCCTTCCAGTCTCCACCACACGCCGGTCGGTCGGGCTCTCTCCTCTGCAGTAGAGGACTAGGAAGAGGCGGAAGTAGTTCCGCCAGCACTAGAGGGAGAAGCCACGCCAGAGGACCCGTCGGGCGGCTTCTCTCCTCTCTGACAGATGGGGGAAGGGGGTTGCGGTGCGGAGGCTGCGACAGAATTGCTGGCGTGTCGGCGCCCCATTTTCCCCAGTCAGAAAATCGCTGCTCCCGGGGCGAACTGACCAGAGGCAGGTTAGGTGAGGATACAGAGGCGAGTTAGGCGGCTGCGAGGCCTAATTAGAGAGCCCCCTCTGCTGCCTGGAACAGGACAGATGCCTGGCCACAGGCCCCGTGCTGGTCGCGGGCCCTCGGCAGCGCCCGACTGCCCGATGGGTCAGTCCACCCCTGGTGGTAGGTAATGTAGGGCTCACAGGTCATAGTAGTAAGTAACACAGAGTGCAGGGCACAAAAAGTTCCATACATTGTATTAATTTTGTGTCCGTGTGTCACATTTTAGAGCTGCTTCTCTCTCTTACCTCCAGTTGATGGTGGTGGAGAGTGATTGGCAGGCCAGGACAAATAGGATTCCCTAAGTGAGCACCATTTTCATCCATCTGACTTCACCTCCAAGCTCACATAAGAGCCTCTTCCACACCATGTAACAGGTCACCCCAGGCACCAAACACTGACCACAAAACCCCACCCCCTCTGCCATCTTATTAGAGCCCTAAACTGGGGAGTGAGTTCCCTCCGAGGTGCTATTTTCATCCATCCGGCGTCACCACATAGCATAAGTCAGAGCCTCTTCTGCACCATGTGACAGGTCACCCTGGCAACCAAGGGCTGACCACAAAGCCCCACCCCTGCAATGCCCCCGGGGGAACTTCTGCAGAGGAAAAAAACAGAGGAGCTGCTTTTTTTAAATTTAATTGTCATTAACTGCCCGTAGGGACACCTCCAGGGACATTAGTTTCCTGGGACAGACCTCTTAAAACGGGGACTGGCCCTGGGAAAAGGGGACTAATAGTAATCTTAGTCTATGAGACCTGCAGAACGTACGTTCAAGTTGAAGCTGTACTAATCCCAGCATATAAACAAACAGATTTGCTCCCATTTTTTTTATAATCTTATTTAAAGTAATATTGAAGTCAAAAGGTTTTTAAGCTATTTCAAGTGCTTAATTTAATCACATACAATGAATGTTTCTCCTTGATGTTTAAAAGTTTTTGAGCTTCCTACAGAATCAGCTGGTCCCCAGAGCACTGGCCCCGATATCCTGTTTTATCCTGGCTTCTCTACCTTGCAGGGTCCTATGGAGCCATCCTTGTGTGTACTAGTAAGCTGTGTGTGTGTCTCCCCAAACACAAAGGCACAGCAGGGAAATCCACTCATCTGCTCTCTGCTACTTGCTTCACCTTTCTCTCTCCTCCTTTGTAAAAGTTAGTAAATGGACAGCTGCTGGAGACTGCTTTGTCCCTGGTGATCTTATACTGGACAGGAAGTTCAGAGAAGCAGAGCTGAGAGAGTTGGAGCCAACTGTTTGACAGCATGATGACTGTAAGTGTTTATGCAAACATTTTTTTTGATGGGCAATATATATATATATAACAGAATACAGCATTATATAGCATACATATATACAGATAGAACTTCCTGTGTATATCATAGATAAGTATGCACATAAGCAGAGGGACCAACATTGCACTACAGCCCCTACATCTACAGCTCAAAAGACATAACAGCAGAAGGTCAATAATATGCTATTGTATTTCCAACACCCATTCTCAACAGCATATGCGTTGCTATGTGATGTTTAGCTTCTCTCGAAGGAACCTGTGACGATCCTTTTGGCAATGGCTTGGTGAGTGCGTCTGCAGTCATTTCTTCTGATGAGCAATATTGCATGTCGTTAATAGCTTGCTCTTGAGTGTCCAAGTTTTATTTTCTTGGAGTGATTTTATTTCTTCTTCTGCTGCCTTTCTCCTTTGATTGGCTTTGCGTTCTGGTAATTTTTCTATGTCTTCCCACAATGTAGGTTTGAGTATGCTATGTGTCTTAGCAGTATATGACAGTTTGCAGGGTCGTATTTCCTGTGTTGCCCAAGTGAATCTTCTAATTTCAAGAATTTAACATGGAATTTGACATATCCGTTGTGAATAATATACACCACAGCGCTCAGTAAGAAAAATTCTTCCACATCAACGTGAAGGGAAAGGGCTGCCGTCCTCAAGGCCACCGGGAAGTATCCTCACATCATGTAAAACAAAAAACAAACAGCGCCCTCTCCTAGTGTAAAGATGTTTATTTTAATGAGTATACAATTTTTTTCCATAAAAACTACTTACATAGATATAGATTGAGATGAGCAACAAAATAGCAAGCAGATCCCAGAAATGACCAATTAACTGACGCGTTTCGGGGGAGCTTCCCCCTTCCTCAGAGCTAGTATATTACAGAAAGGCACAGGAATATATACACACACACATCGACTCATGGGAATCATGTGGCAATCTCCTGATTGGTAGCCAATTAATCAGCATCAATCGTCTGTCCATAGTACACCAATGAGGGCACAGATACCATCAGGCTAGATAGACTAATATCCAATAGAAAGCGTATACTGATCTCTTATCATATGTAAAAGAGCACGCTCTTCTAATACTTCACCATGTCAGCATGAATGCCGTTGTCCCGTGTGTGTCCGGGCTAGGGGCTGACGCCATTACAGGGGTGGAGCCAGGGACCAGCTGTTATAGAGGGAAACCAAGGAGACAGCATCAACATGACATAGTTTGTGAAAGATTATCTACAGAGAGCAAGGTGAGGGGAACTGAAGGGAATAGCTGT